TGTTTCTTTTTTAAAAATCGAAATTTATTTTCAAAGAGAAAATAGCGACATTTCTAACTTTGAGGATGAGGTATGGAACGGTGAAACATGAAGAGTAATGGAGAACGGAAAAATAAAAAGTGTCCAGGGGCGGGAATCGAACCCACACCCTTCTGCTTACCGGGCAGGTGCCTTGTCCACTCGGCTACCCTGGACGTATTTTTCCGTTCATAACTTATATTTAAAGTAACATTTAAAATACAATATAACGCGGCTGATGATTGTAAAACGAAAATTAAAATTATACCGCGAATGTTTCTTTTTTAAAAATCGAAATTTATTTTCAAAGAGAAAATAGCGACATTTCTAACTTTGAGGATGAGGTATGGAACGGTGAAACATGAAGAGTAATGGAGAACGGAAAAATAAAAATAAAAAGTGTCCAGGGGCGGGAATCGAACCCACACCCTTCTGCTTACCGGGCAGGTGCCTTGTCCACTCGGCTACCCTGGACGTATTTTTCCGTTCATAACTTATATTTAAAGTAACATTTAAAATACAATATAACGCGGCTGATGATTGTAAAACGAAAATTAAAATTATACCGCGAATGTTTCTTTTTTAAAAATCGAAATTTATTTTCAAAGAGAAAATAGCGACATTTCTAACTTTGAGGATGAGGTATGGAACGGTGAAACATGAAGAGTAATGGAGAACGGAAAAATAAAAAGTGTCCAGGGGCGGGAATCGAACCCACACCCTTCTGCTTACCGGGCAGGTGCCTTGTCCACTCGGCTACCCTGGACGTATTTTTCCGTTCATAACTTATATTTAAAGTAACATTTAAAATACAATATAACGCGGCTGATGATTGTAAAACGAAAATTAAAATTATACCGCGAATGTTTCTTTTTTAAAAATCGAAATTTATTTTCAAAGAGAAAATAGCGACATTTCTAACTTTGAGGATGAGGTATGGAACGGTGAAACATGAAGAGTAATGGAGAACGGAAAAATAAAAAGTGTCCAGGGGCGGGAATCGAACCCACACCCTTCTGCTTACCGGGCAGGTGCCTTGTCCACTCGGCTACCCTGGACGTATTTTTCCGTTCATAACTTATATTTAAAGTAACATTTAAAATACAATATAACGCGGCTGATGATTGTAAAACGAAAATTAAAATTATACCGCGAATGTTTCTTTTTTAAAAATCGAAATTTATTTTCAAAGAGAAAATAGCGACATTTCTAACTTTGAGGATGAGGTATGGAACGGTGAAACATGAAGAGTAATGGAGAACGGAAAAATAAAAATAAAAAGTGTCCAGGGGCGGGAATCGAACCCACACCCTTCTGCTTACCGGGCAGGTGCCTTGTCCACTCGGCTACCCTGGACGTATTTTTCCGTTCATAACTTATATTTAAAGTAACATTTAAAATACAATATAACGCGGCTGATGATTGTAAAACGAAAATTAAAATTGTACCGCGAATGTTTCTTTTTTAAAAATCGAAATTTATTTTCAAAGAGAAAATAGCGACATTTCTAACTTTGAGGATGAGGTATGGAACGGTGAAACATGAAGAGTAATGGAGAACGGAAAAATAAAAAGTGTCCAGGGGCGGGAATCGAACCCACACCCTTCTGCTTACCGGGCAGGTGCCTTGTCCACTCGGCTACCCTGGACGTATTTTTCCGTTCATAACTTATATTTAAAGTAACATTTAAAATACAATATAACGCGGCTGATGATTGTAAAACGAAAATTAAAATTATACCGCGAATGTTTCTTTTTTAAAAATCGAAATTTATTTTCAAAGAGAAAATAGCGACATTTCTAACTTTGAGGATGAGGTATGGAACGGTGAAACATGAAGAGTAATGGAGAACGGAAAAATAAAAAGTGTCCAGGGGCGGGAATCGAACCCACACCCTTCTGCTTACCGGGCAGGTGCCTTGTCCACTCGGCTACCCTGGACGTATTTTTCCGTTCATAACCTATATTTAAAGTAACATTTAAAATACAATATAATGTATTGTAATACAATATATTGTATTTTAAATGTTACTTTAAATATAAGTTATGAACGGAAAAATACGTCCAGGGTAGCCGAGTGGACAAGGCACCTGCCCGGTAAGCAGAAGGGTGTGGGTTCGATTCCCGCCCCTGGACACTTTTTATTTTTCCGTTCTCCATTACTCTTCATGTTTCACCGTTCCATACCTCATCCTCAAAGTTAGAAATGTCGCTATTTTCTCTTTGAAAATAAATTTCGATTTTTAAAAAAGAAACATTCGCGGTATAATTTTAATTTTCGTTTTACAATCATCAGCCGCGTTATATTGTATTTTAAATGTTACTTTAAATATAAGTTATGAACGGAAAAATACGTCCAGGGTAGCCGAGTGGACAAGGCACCTGCCCGGTAAGCAGAAGGGTGTGGGTTCGATTCCCGCCCCTGGACACTTTTTATTTTTCCGTTCTCCATTACTCTTCATGTTTCACCGTTCCATACCTCATCCTCAAAGTTAGAAATGTCGTTATTTTCTCTTTGAAAATAAATTTCGATTTTTAAAAAAGAAACATTCGCGGTATAATTTTAATTTTCGTTTTACAATCATCAGCCGCGTTATATTGTATTTTAAATGTTACTTTAAATATAAGTTATGAACGGAAAAATACGTCCAGGGTAGCCGAGTGGACAAGGCACCTGCCCGGTAAGCAGAAGGGTGTGGGTTCGATTCCCGCCCCTGGACACTTTTTATTTTTCCGTTCTCCATTACTCTTCATGTTTCACCGTTCCATACCTCATCCTCAAAGTTAGAAATGTCGCTATTTTCTCTTTGAAATTAAATTTCGATTTTTAAAAAATAAACATTCGCGGTATAATTTTAATTTTCGTTTTACAATCATAAGCCGCGTTATATTGTATTTTAAATGTTACTTTAAATATAAGTTATGAACGGAAAAATACGTCCAGGGTAGCCGAGTGGACAAGGCACCTGCCCGGTAAGCAGAAGGGTGTGGGTTCGATTCCCGCCCCTGGACACTTTTTATTTTTCCGTTCTCCATTACTCTTCATGTTTCACCGTTCCATACCTCATCCTCAAAGTTAGAAATGTCGCTATTTTCTCTTTGAAAATAAATTTCGATTTTTAAAAAATAAACATTCGCGGTATAATTTTAATTTTCGTTTTACAATCATAAGCCGCGTTATATTGTATTTTAAATGTTACTTTAAATATAAGTTATGAACGGAAAAATACGTCCAGGGTAGCCGAGTGGACAAGGCACCTGCCCGGTAAGCAGAAGGGTGTGGGTTCGATTCCCGCCGCTGGACACTTTTTATTTTTTCGTTCTCCATTACTCTTCATGTTTCACCGTTCCATACCTCATCCTCAAAGTTAGAAATGTCGCTATTTTCTCTTTGAAAATAAATTTCGATTTTTAAAAAAGAAACATTCGCGGTATAATTTTAATTTTCGTTTTACAATCATCAGCCGCGTTATATTGTATTTTAAATGTTACTTTAAATATAAGTTATGAACGGAAAAATACGTCCAGGGTAGCCGAGTGGACAAGGCACCTGCCCGGTAAGCAGAAGGGTGTGGGTTCGATTCCCGCTCCTGGACACTTTTTATTTTTCCGTTCTCCATTACTCTTCATGTTTCACCGTTCCATACCTCATCCTCAAAGTTAGAAATGTCGCTATTTTCTCTTTGAAAATAAATTTCGATTTTTAAAAAAGAAACATTCGCGGTATAATTTTAATTTTCGTTTTACAATCATCAGCCGCGTTATATTGTATTTTAAATGTTACTTTAAATATAAGTTATGAACGGAAAAATACGTCCAGGGTAGCCGAGTGGACAAGGCACCTGCCCGGTAAGCAGAAGGGTGTGGGTTCGATTCCCGCCCCTGGACACTTTTTATTTTTCCGTTCTCCATTACTCTTCATGTTTCACCGTTCCATACCTCATCCTCAAAGTTAGAAATGTCGCTATTTTCTCTTTGAAAATAAATTTCGATTTTTAAAAAAGAAACATTCGCGGTATAATTTTAATTTTCGTTTTACAATCATCAGCCGCGTTATATTGTATTTTAAATGTTACTTCAAATATAAGTTATGAACGGAAAAATACGTCCAGGGTAGCCGAGTGGACAAGGCACCTGCCCGGTAAGCAGAAGGGTGTGGGTTCGATTCCCGCCCCTGGACACTTTTTATTTTTCCGTTCTCCATTACTCTTCATTTTTCACCGTTCCATACCTCATCCTCAAAGTTAGAAATGTCGCTATTTTCTCTTTGAAAATAAATTTCGATTTTTAAAAAAGAAACATTCGCGGTATAATTTTAATTTTCGTTTTACAATCATCAGCCGCGTTATATTGTATTTTAAATGTTACTTTAAATATAAGTTATGAACGGAAAAATACGTCCAGGGTAGCCGAGTGGACAAGGCACCTGCCCGGTAAGCAGAAGGGTGTGGGTTCGATTCCCGCTCCTGGACACTTTTTATTTTTCCGTCCTCCATTACTCTTCATGTTTCACCGTTCCATACCTCATCCTCAAAGTTAGAAATGTCGCTTTTTTCTCTTTGAAAATAAATTTCGATTTTTTAAAAAGAAACATTCGCGGTATAATTTTAATTTTCGTTTTACAATCATCAGCCGCGTTATATTGTATTTTAAATGTTACTTTAAATATAAGTTATGAACGGAAAAATACGTCCAGGGTAGCCGAGTGGACAAGGCACCTGCCCGGTAAGCAGAAGGGTGTGGGTTCGATTCCCGCCCCTGGACACTTTTTATTTTTCCGTTCTCCATTACTCTTCATGTTTCACCGTTCCATACCTCATCCTCAAAGTTAGAAATGTCGCTATTTTCTCTTTGAAAATAAATTTCGATTTTTAAAAAAGAAACATTCGCGGTATAATTTTAATTTTCGTTTTACAATCATCAGCCGCGTTATATTGTATTTTAAATGTTACTTTAAATATAAGTTATGAACGGAAAAATACGTCCAGGGTAGCCGAGTGGACAAAGCACCTGCCCGGAAAGAAGAAGGGTGTGGGTTCGATTCCCGCCCCTGGACACTTTTTATTTTTCCGTTCTCCATTACTCTTCATGTTTCACCGTTCCATACCTCATCCTCAAAGTTAGAAATGTCGCTATTTTCTCTTTGAAAATAAATTTCGATTTTTAAAAAAGAAACATTCGCGGTATAATTTTAATTTTCGTTTTACAATCATCAGCCGCGTTATATTGTATTTTAAATGTTACTTTAAATATAAGTTATGAACGGAAAAATACGTCCAGGGTAGCCGAGTGGACAAGGCACCTGCCCGGTAAGCAGAAGGGTGTGGGTTCGATTCCCGCCTCTGGACACTTTTTATTTTTCCGTTCTCCATTACTCTTCATGTTTCACCGTTCCATACCTCATCCTCAAAGTTAGAAATGTCGCTATTTTCTCTTTGAAAATAAATTTCGATTTTTAAAAAAGAAACATTCGCGGTATAATTTTAATTTTCGTTTTACAATCATCAGCCGCGTTATATTGTATTTTAAATGTTACTTTAAATATAAGTTATGAACGGAAAAATACGTCCAGGGTAGCCGAGTGGACAAGGCACCTGCCCGGTAAGCAGAAGGGTGTGGGTTCGATTCCCGCCCCTGGACACTTTTTATTTTTCCGTTCTCCATTACTCTTCATGTTTCACCGTTCCATACCTCATCCTCAAAGTTAGAAATGTCGCTATTTTCTCTTTGAAAATAAATTTCGATTTTTAAAAAAGAAACATTCGCGGTATAATTTTAATTTTCGTTTTACAATCATCAGCCGCGTTATATTGTATTTTAAATGTTACTTTAAATATAAGTTATGAACGGAAAAATACGTCCAGGGTAGCCGAGTGGACAAGGCACCTGCCCGGTAAGCAGAAGGGTGTGGGTTCGATTCCCGCCCCTGGACACTTTTTATTTTTCCGTTCTCCATTACTCTTCATGTTTCACCGTTCCATACCTCATCCTCAAAGTTAGAAATGTCGCTATTTTCTCTTTGAAAATAAATTTCGATTTTTAAAAAAGAAACATTCGCGGTATAATTTTAATTTTCGTTTTACAATCATCAGCCGCGTTATATTGTATTTTAAATGTTACTTTAAATATAAGTTATGAACGGAAAAATACGTCCAGGGTAGCCGAGTGGACAAGGCACCTGCCCGGTAAGCAGAAGGGTGTGGGTTCGATTCCCGCCCCTGGACACTTTTTATTTTTCCGTTCTCCATTACTCTTCATGTTTCACCGTTCCATACCTCATCCTCAAAGTTAGAAATGTCGCTATTTTCTCTTTGAAAATAAATTTCGATTTTTAAAAAAGAAACATTCGCGGTATAATTTTAATTTTCGTTTTACAATCATCAGCCGCGTTATATTGTATTTTAAATGTTACTTTAAATATAAGTTATGAACGGAAAAATACGTCCAGGGTAGCCGAGTGGACAAGGCACCTGCCCGGTAAGCAGAAGGGTGTGGGTTCGATTCCCGCTCCTGGACACTTTTTATTTTTCCGTCCTCCATTACTCTTCATGTTTCACCGTTCCATACCTCATCCTCAAAGTTAGAAATGTCGCTTTTTTCTCTTTGAAAATAAATTTCGATTTTTAAAAAAGAAACATTCGCGGTATAATTTTAATTTTCGTTTTACAATCATCAGCCGCGTTATATTGTATTTTAAATGTTACTTTAAATATAAGTTATGAACGGAAAAATACGTCCAGGGTAGCCGAGTGGACAAGGCACCTGCCCGGTAAGCAGAAGGGTGTGGGTTCGATTCCCGCCCCTGGACACTTTTTATTTTTCCGTTCTCCATTACTCTTCATGTTTCACCGTTCCATACCTCATCCTCAAAGTTAGAAATGTCGCTATTTTCTCTTTGAAAATAAATTTCGATTTTTAAAAAAGAAACATTCGCGGTATAATTTTAATTTTCGTTTTACAATCATCAGCTGCGTTATATTGTATTTTAAATGTTACTTTAAATATAAGTTATGAACGGAAAAATACGTCCAGGGTAGCCGAGTGGACAAAGCACCTGCCCGGAAAGAAGAAGGGTGTGGGTTCGATTCCCGCCCCTGGACACTTTTTATTTTTCCGTTCTCCATTACTCTTCATGTTTCACCGTTCCATACCTCATCCTCAAAGTTAGAAATGTCGCTATTTTCTCTTTGAAAATAAATTTCGATTTTTAAAAAAGAAACATTCGCGGTATAATTTTAATTTTCGTTTTACAATCATCAGCCGCGTTATATTGTATTTTAAATGTTACTTTAAATATAAGTTATGAACGGAAAAATACGTCCAGGGTAGCCGAGTGGACAAGGCACCTGCCCGGTAAGCAGAAGGGTGTGGGTTCGATTCCCGCCTCTGGACACTTTTTATTTTTCCGTTCTCCATTACTCTTCATGTTTCACCGTTCCATACCTCATCCTCAAAGTTAGAAATGTCGCTATTTTCTCTTTGAAAATAAATTTCGATTTTTAAAAAAGAAACATTCGCGGTATAATTTTAATTTTCGTTTTACAATCATCAGCCGCGTTATATTGTATTTTAAATGTTACTTTAAATATAAGTTATGAACGGAAAAATACGTCCAGGGTAGCCGAGTGGACAAGGCACCTGCCCGGTAAGCAGAAGGGTGTGGGTTCGATTCCCGCCCCTGGACACTTTTTATTTTTCCGTTCTCCATTACTCTTCATGTTTCACCGTTCCATACCTCATCCTCAAAGTTAGAAATGTCGCTATTTTCTCTTTGAAAATAAATTTCGATTTTTAAAAAAGAAACATTCGCGGTATAATTTTCATTTTCGTTTTACAATCATCAGCCGCGTTATATTGTATTTTAAATGTTACTTTAAATATAAGTTATGAACGGAAAAATACGTCCAGGGTAGCCGAGTGGACAAGGCACCTGCCCGGTAAGCAGAAGGGTGTGGGTTCGATTCCCGCTCCTGGACACTTTTTATTTTTCCGTCCTCCATTACTCTTCATGTTTCACCGTTCCATACCTCATCCTCAAAGTTAGAAATGTCGCTTTTTTCTCTTTGAAAATAAATTTCGATTTTTAAAAAAGAAACATTCGCGGTATAATTTTAATTTTCGTTTTACAATCATCAGCCGCGTTATATTGTATTTTAAATGTTACTTTAAATATAAGTTATGAACGGAAAAATACGTCCAGGGTAGCCGAGTGGACAAGGCACCTGCCCGGTAAGCAGAAGGGTGTGGGTTCGATTCCCGCCCCTGGACACTTTTTATTTTTCCGTTCTCCATTACTCTTCATGTTTCACCGTTCCATACCTCATCCTCAAAGTTAGAAATGTCGCTATTTTCTCTTTGAAAATAAATTTCGATTTTTAAAAAAGAAACATTCGCGGTATAATTTTAATTTTCGTTTTACAATCATCAGCCGCGTTATATTGTATTTTAAATGTTACTTTAAATATAAGTTATGAACGGAAAAATACGTCCAGGGTAGCCGAGTGGACAAGGCACCTGCCCGGTAAGCAGAAGGGTGTGGGTTCGATTCCCGCCTCTGGACACTTTTTATTTTTCCGTTCTCCATTACTCTTCATGTTTCACCGTTCCATACCTCATCCTCAAAGTTAGAAATGTCGCTATTTTCTCTTTGAAAATAAATTTCGATTTTTAAAAAAGAAACATTCGCGGTATAATTTTAATTTTCGTTTTACAATCATCAGCCGCGTTATATTGTATTTTAAATGTTACTTTAAATATAAGTTATGAACGGAAAAATACGTCCAGGGTAGCCGAGTGGACAAGGCACCTGCCCGGTAAGCAGAAGGGTGTGGGTTCGATTCCCGCCCCTGGACACTTTTTATTTTTCCGTTCTCCATTACTCTTCATGTTTCACCGTTCCATACCTCATCCTCAAAGTTAGAAATGTCGCTATTTTCTCTTTGAAAATAAATTTCGATTTTTAAAAAAGAAACATTCGCGGTATAATTTTAATTTTCATATTATTATTTGTTAATATAACGTCTAATGTGTGTTTAAATGACGTCTATTTAATTCAAAATTCCTCTAAACAATCAATATAATCAATATTGCCATGTGGAAAATTAGGGAAGACAAGCTTCAGGATGAGACAGAAATTTATTAAAGACAAGAACAAACTATGAATGATAAACAAAAGATAAGGAATGAAGGAAGTTTACAGAGTAGCAAAATATAAACATAAAAAATGATACTCTGTTAATACTAGTGTAAAATAATAAATGCTATAAAAATAATAAATACTTCGCTAAAATATTCTATCACAACGCCACACATCTGGAGAGAAAATTCGAACAAATTTTCAATTTGTGAATTTAGAGCTTGTACTATTATCAGGTAATACATATATTTCGACTGAGATCAATAAACTACCAGTATTACTTCAGGGTGTATATCATAAGTTTGATGCCTAACCACCTGGAGCAGTATATTAGTAAAATTACAAAATCTTGAGGCAAAAAGAGAGTTTCTTGTAAGGTTTTTTTATTTGGCCAAGCTTTTGGTGATTTCTGTCCTTCTACATCCTTTTATACGTTTTTTCTTTACTCCTGTAGAGGAGCAGAAATGTCCGAAAGCTCGGAAAAATAAAAATAAAACTTACAAGAAACTCTCACGATTTTTTTCTTTTGATAATATACTTTAGAGGGTAAATAAGTAAATATGATAAAGCTCAATTAGGATTATAGATTATAATACAAGAAAATAAGACCTAATTCAAATAATTTGATAGTGTGTGACGTTTCGGACACGTGTGTGACAGTATAGTTACCATATCATCAGACAAAAGAATAAATAATTTATTTATTCTTTTGTCTGATGATGATAACAATTCTGTTGCCGAAACGTCACACACTATTAAATTATTTGGATTAGGTCTTATTTTCTTGTAAAAATAAAATGTGTAAAAATGGGCCTTTTTTATTGTTGTTTTTGATACTTTAGGGTATGTAAAGTTTTTTCAAAACAACCTATTTTTTAGATGTTTTCAACTTTATTATTCTTCTAAAGTATTCTCTATAT